GTCGCATACCAGGTAATTATTTGATGTTTATCATATAAAAAAAATGCCCCGAAAAATTCTCCCGATAAACGCTAAAGGGTTTTGCTAGCACGAGCTCGTCATCTCCTAATAATATGACATCTTCGCAAGTGAACTGCACGTGGAATGCGTGGAAGCGACTGACGCCTTGCAGCGCGTCATGTGGCCTCAGGGCTTCCAGACACAGGAATCGAACCAACCTTGGCAGCGCCAGAACAGAGGGAAGACTGCGTCGAAGCGTTCGAGGAACACAGCGTCTGTGACGCCTACCAACATGTCCAGGTGATTGCACAGGTCTTATACCTATCATACGTCACACTGTGGCAGGTGATCTAGGTCATTACTGTATGCGTCACATTCGCTGCTGTGCAGGTGAACGCTTTTATCCATGAGAGGTGTTGCCTCCTATTTCCCGAATCGTATCATCATCATCGTCGTCGTCGTCCCTCAGCAACCCTCTGCCTGTCCCGTGACAAAATCCGACCTTCGTCAGAACAGGCATAACCACGCCCCAGATTGATTTTTTTGTTAGTCGGTCTGCGAGTTAAACGCCAGTTATGTCTGTTTTATAATCACATCGTAAACGCGAATTATCGACGCTCGCGTCACTGTTAACTAAGCATGTCTTTGGAACGACCTAACGCGACGATGATTGGTCTGTCAAGCTGAGTCTGTCAAATTGCTGTATTTATTTATTCTATTTATTTTATTTATTTATTAATTTAAAACAGGTACAATGGTAACAGATATGGTCAACATTGAGCTTGCGAACCACTCGAACTGCAAATAAAATATAAATTGTACGGGATTGTATCGTATGGCTCCGCCTGCACGCTGGGCCTATAGCGGGCTTACGTACGCCCCTGTCCGAAGACTTTCAAGTGTCCGTATCCTGGTCAGTTCCTACGAACTCCTATCTGTGCGAAGACCTACAATCTCAGTCGTGCATTGAGCGCCGGCAAGCGGCGTCAAACAACTTACGCCAACTGTACACCGACGGGAGAAGCTGTGACGCCACCTGGCGCATGCCCACTGGTAAGTAGAATGAGAACAACTGCCACGACATCAGTGTGGCCGCGCTAATTCACGACCCTATTGGGTAATATTATATATATATAGTAATATATATATATATATATACTAGTATATATATACTATATGTGTGTGTGTGTGTGTGTGGTGTGTGTGTGTGTGTGTGTGTGTGTGTGTGTGTGTATGTGTGTGTTGTGTGTGTGTGTTTGTGTGTGTGTGTGTGTGTGTGTGTGTGTGTGTAAATATTAGTATATGTGTGTGTTGTGTGTGTCGTGTGTGTGTGGTGCTGTGTGTGTAGTGTGTGTAGTGTGTGGTGTGTGTGTGTGTGCGTATGAGAGAGATGTGTGTGTGTGTGTGTGTGTGTGTGTGTGTTGTGTGTGTGTGTGCGCGTGCTGTAGTGCGTGGGTGGCGTGCGCGCGTGCGTAACGTGTGTGCGCGTGCGCGTGCGCGTGTGTGTTGGCATTGCAAAGTTGTCCTTCTAGTACAAAGTATTTTAGAGATGTATTTGTAGGAACGCATCTCTATTATATAGAATATGATATATAAATAAGATATATAATAATCTCTATTAATATATAATAAGATATATAATCATCTCTATTAATATATAATAAATATATAAATAATCTCTTATATTAGAATAAGATATATAAATCATCTTCTATTATATATAATAAGATATATAATAATCCTCTTATTATATAGAAATAAGATAATAATAATTTCTCTATTATATAAATAAGAATATATAATCATGCTCTATTATATAATAATAAGATATATAATAATCTCTATTATATAGAATAAGATATATAATAATCTCTATTATATATAATAAGATATATAATCATCTCTATTATATATAATAAATATATAATAATCTCTATTATATAATAATATAGATATATAATCATCTCTATTATATATAATAAGATATATAATTATCTCTATTATATTATCTCCAATTATATAATAGACGTCATTGTGAAAACGGGATTCACCTAACGCAGTTTCGCGTTACGAACATTTTCTTCTGGATCGCGTTACCACATAGGGTCAGTGAGAGCGCGTGAGGGAAAGCAGCAGGATATGTTAGAGCTAAGCTGCGTTTACACTACCGCCGTTGCGTTGCGAATTTGGACCAAAATTCCCAAACTATAACAAGCCTGACAGATCGCGTGTAAACGCAAAAAGTTGTGCGACCAACTAATCGATAGCACTAGTTGGGAGATTAAAGAACATGTTCTCTTTCGCCAAACTGCGGAGTTTGCCGAATTAAGAAAGTTGTCCAGACTCGCCCAAATCGCCTACATAAAATCAGCCTTTAAGAAGTAAAAGGACTTTAAGGGGGAAAGAGACGAAGCGAGAGGGAATTAAAGGGACGTGATCTATAGTCACATAGCGAGCGCGGAGGACATACAAATGTCGTGTTTTGTTCTCTTTCAGGGGAGAACTCCTTCAAGGAACTGCCTGTGTCCAAAGTGCGAGGATTGGCAATCTGTACGGTCTTACGTACCAATACTGACGCTCGGTGACGAAGAATTGGAGGTGCCACCAAACACTACCTACACGGGAGATCATAACCTGCCAAGACTGGTGCCTATATCCAACTACTACTATTAGCTATACCGGGAAGAGATAGCGAATTGGTCCGACAGAAGGACGGACGAATCGGACGGACCATACACGCACACACACACACACATCACACACACACACACACACACACACACACACAACACACACTACCAACGCACACACATCCGCACGCACACACATACTACACACTACACACACACACACACACACCACACACACACATACATACACACGCGCGCACACATTACACACACAGCGCCGCGGCAGCACATCAATACACAGTCCACACAGAGAGAAAGAGACTGACAGACAGAAGAACAGAGAGAGAGAGTAGAGACAGAACAGACAGACAGACAGACAGACGACAGACAGACAGATCAGACAGACAGACAGACAGACCAGACAGACGAACAGACAGAAGCAGACAGACAGATGAGAACAGAGAGAGATGAGAGAGAAGAGAGAAGAGAGAAGAGAGAGAGAGAGAGAGAGAGAAGAGAGAGAGAAGCCCGAATCAGCCGACCGACGACAAGACAGACAGACAGACAGACAGACAGACTGACAGACAGACCTGAGAGAGCAAGTATACACATAGACAGATATATAGATAAATTAAAATAGATAAACCAACATAGATCATAAATTTATTATCATTAGAATTTCATTATTAGAATGTACAACATACTTGTTGAGCTGTGGCCTGATTTATATCGGCAGTCTGTCGTACATTTGCGTAGGTGTGTAGATATAGTTGTGTAGCTATATAGTTGTGTAGCTATAGTTGTGTAGCTGTAGTTGTGTAGCTATAGTTGTCTAGCTATATAGTTGTGTAGCTATAGTTGTCTAGCTGTAGTTGTGTAGGCTATAGTTTGTGTAGCTATAGTTGGTGTATGCTGTAGTATGTGTAGCTATAGTTGTCTAGCCATAGTTTGTGTAGCTAAAAAAAAAAAAAAAAAAAAAAAAAAAAAGAAAAAAAAAAAAAAAGCGGTGGTACATGTACACAATCCTTGTTTTTCTAGCCTGTGTCTAAAAACGGAGAAGGGACATGCGAGACTACCCGGAGTGGCCATGCGAGGAAGGTAAACAATTAATTTTTTATTCCTAAACAACAACAAAAGCAACAAAATCATCAACAACAACAACAAAAACAACAACATCATCATTATCATCAACAACAACAACACAAACAGCAACACCATCATCAACAACACAACAACAAAACCATCATCATTATCATCAACAACAAAAACAAAAACAACCACCACCACGATTCATCAACTAACGACAACAACAATAACCATCATCAGTTACATCAAACAACAAAAACAAAAACAACCACCACCACCACACGCGTGAACAGTTATACTAGCAGTACTACTAGCAGCACTGCAGGCTGCACATGCCACTGAGCTCCTAGCCACAGTGCTTATTACATCTGTAAGCCACCGCTATGACCTCATCCGTGTTGCAGCCGTCTGCTCGACCTGGTCGTCGTGGTCCGACTGTGTGCAGACCTGCAGCAGCCTGTGTCCGGAGATGAAGACACGCTATCGTACCTGTCCAGCGGGAAACAGTCTGCCGGTCATGGAGACGGCTGAGTGCCCTTACATGCCGGCCTGCCCGGGTAAGTTGTTGTCCTTCTACTCTAGTCTGTGAGAAGCGCGCTACTTCCTAATCCAATAATCCACTTGTGTCATATACTATATATATATATATATATATATATAATATACAATATATATATATATATATATTATATTTATATTTATCATACAATAAACTAAAAGTAAGTGGTATAGGAAAGCTGGTTTTCATTCTATCTTTCTTACGACGAATCCTATTAGGTGTATAAGCTATATATTCCTATATATCTACAGATACCCTTGGTGGTCAGTTGCACTTTGGGGAGAGGAGAACGACGTATGGGGATTATGATGCAGATAGCAAATTACTAACGCACTAGTACTCTTATTGACTGTCGTGATTCAGGAATAATATTCCCATGAATTTAAGTTATTTTGATGGACCACACATCGTCCCGTAGGTATAGGTAAACGTTGAGACCCTGGTGGCATCGGCTCAATCTGTGTGGGATGGGCATCATCGACACAACATCCGCAGGCGTGGGTGATCCAGCTAACACACACTCTCACCCAAGAGCGACTGATACACCTACATGACATTGATTTATTTCTGTAGAGTTTATATCTAGTTGACATTGGCGCACCGCTGGCTACCAGTAATGCAGATAAGGTCTATGTCCCCCTGACCTCTGTTTGACCTGGCTCGTTTAGCTATTTCTGACTAATATATATATATATATATATAAACCACAATAGGGGTGAATTAGCGGGCCACACTGATGTCGTGTCAGTCTGTTCTCATTCTACTTACCAGTGGGCATGCGCAGGTGGTCACGAGCTCTCCCGGTGTACAGTTGGCGTAAGTGTTGACGCCGCTGCCGGCGGCAATGCACGACTGAGATTGTAGGTCTTCGCACAGATAGGAGTCGTAGAACTGACCAGGATACGGACACTGAAAGTCTGCGGACAGGGCGTACGTAAGCGCTATAGGCCCAGCGTGAGGCGGAGCCATACAATTATATTTTATTGCAGTTCGAGGAGTTCGCAAGCTCATGTTGACATATCTGTTACCAATGTACCGTTTTTAAATTAATAAATAAATAAAATAAATAAATAAATATATACAGCAATTTGACAGACAGCTTGGCAGACTAATCACCGTCGAGATAGGTCGTTCCAAAAGACAATGCTTAGTAACCAAGTGACGCGAGGTCGATATTTCGGCGTTTACGAGTGATATAAAACAGACAAACTGGTTTAACTCGAGACCGACCTAACAAAAAGATCGAATGGGGGCGTGGTTATCTAGTTCTGACGGACAGGTCGGATTTGTCACGGGACAGGCAGAGGGTTGCTGAGGGACGACGACGACGATGATGATGATGACGATCGGGAAATAGGAGCAACACCTCTCATGGATAAAAGGTCACCTGCACAGCAGCAGTGTGACGCATACAGGTAAGACCTAAGATCACCTGCACAGTGTGACGTATATAGGCATAAAACTTGTGATCACCTACACAGTGTGACGTATATAGGTATAATATAAGACCTGTGATCACCTGGACATGTTGGTAGGTCACAGACACTGTGTTCCTCGAACGCTTCGACGCAGTCTTCCCCTCCGTTCTGCGCTGCAAGGTTGGTTCGATTCCGTGTCTGGAAGCCTGAGCCACATGACGCGCTGCAAGGCGTCCAGTCGCTCCACGCATTCCACGTGCAGTTCACTGCGGAGATGCATATATAGGAGAGAGAGCTCGTGCTAGCAAAACCTTTAGCGGTTATCGGGAGAATTTTCGGGGCATTTTTTTAATGATAAACTCAAATAATTAACCTGGTAGCGACAGTTATTAACCGGACATTTACTTGGATAAAATAAAAATAAAATATTTATATATTATATTATTTTATATTTATATTTATCATAAAATAAAACAAAAGTAAGTGGTATAGGAAAGCTGTTTTTCATTCTATCTTTCTTACGACGAATCCTATTAGGTGGATAGGCTATATATTCCTATATATATACAGATACCCTTGGTGGTCAGTTGCACTTTGGGGAGAGGAGAACGACGTATGGGGATTATGATGCAGATAGCAAATTACTAACGCACTAGTACTCTTATTGACTGTCGTGATTTAGGAATAATATTCCCATGAATTTAAGTTATTTTGATGGACCACACATCGTCCCGTAGGTATAGGTAAACGTTGAGACCCTGGTGGCATCGGCTCAATCTGTGTGGGATAGGCATCATCGACACAACATCAGCAGGCGTGGGTAATCCAGCTAACACACACTCTCACCCAAGAGCGACTGATACACCTACAGGACATTGATTTATTTCTGTAGAGTTTATATCTAGTTGACATTGGCGCACCGCTGGCTACCAGTAATAGACCTGACATGCTACCGTTCGCAGCCGAATATGGCAGACGGTCAGCTGACAACTATTCGAACCATAGAAATATTATAGGTACTAGATATGTCTCAATATATTTCCAGGATTCTAACGCACCTATGCATGCGTCTATGTTGCAGTCCTTCGTCTCGCTGACGGTAGAGGTCGCCTCGTCCGTGTAGCAGTCTGCGCCCCCGTTCTCTGGTGCCGGACATCCGCACGTCCTGTTACGTAACGTCTTACCGACGTCACAGCTCTTGGTACATTCGGACCAAGGCTCCCAGTCGCACCAGTCTCCACTAACTGCGAGATAGAGCGATAGATGTTTCAGTTCCAAAGATACAGCCGTCGAGCATGTTTATAGCTAGCTCTAGAACTATAGCCCTCACAGGCGACTGTGGCGGAGCCAGGGGCTATAGTTCTAGAACTAGTGTATACCAAGTCTAAACTGATATTAAGTTGTAGTAATAGATCAGAGATGTGTTTAATAGAGACCGTTTCATAAACGAGGGCAGGGTTTTGACGCTTTGCACGGTTGTAATTGTAGAAATCTACGTATAGCATATGCAACGGGTTACATATCGTTGAAAAATAAAAACTATACACAGCAAGAAGAAGAGGTCCTCGTTGAAGACTCGTTGAAGAGGTTACATCGTTGAAGACTCGTTGAAGAGGTTACATCGTTGAAGACTAAAAACTATTCACTGTAAGAAGAAGAGAGCCTTTACCTGGGCATGGTGGTGTGGGCGGGTCAGTGCACGCGCCGGTTTCTGTCGGCAGTCCTATACAAGTGGTGCTGACGTAACCATCTGGTGTCATGCACTGCCGGTATCGGGACACAGTGGCGTTCTCTCCACACTCCTGACTGCACTGCGTCCACGGTGTCCATTCCGACCACGTCGCTGCAACCATATTGACCCAACACTGAATAACGCATACCTGCATGCCAACATGCAATTAACTGACTGACCAGTACATTTACATGTACCCGTTGGCACACCGCACAAGCCTTGTTTACACGGAGTCACATTAACCCGAGTTAACACCTAACCCGAGTTAAGAAACACGCATCGTCTATACGGAGTCACCTTAACCCGAGTTAACACTTAACCCGAGTTAAGCTAACCCGAGTTAACACTTAACCCGAATTAACAAACACGCATCGTCTATACGGAGTCACCTTAACCCGAGTTAACACTTAACCCGAGTTAAGCTAACCCGAGTTAACACTTAACCCGAGTTAAGAAACACGCATCGTCTATACGAGGTCACCTTAACCCGAGTTAACACTTAACCCGAGTTAAGAAACACGCATCGTCTATACGGAGTCACCTTAACCCGAGTTAACACTTAACCCGAGTTAAGAAACACGCATCGTCTATACGAGGTCACCTTAACCCGAGTTAAGCTAACCCGAGTTAACACTCAACCCGAGTTAACAAACACGCATCGTCTACACGGAGCTTGTGATAGACGGACACCTAGATATTCAGTGAATAATGAATCACAGAGACGCTTATCGAAATGCAATTTATTGATTAATGTATCCTAGCTAATGCATCGTTGATGTACTCTAGGCACTATCGGCGCGGGTAGCTAGAATCGTACGTTCTGATGAAAATTCTAACGTTGTAATTTTGCAACATCTAACGCTTTATTGGGAACCGTCAAACAACCTCAATTGTATTGTTACGTCCACGTAATTTAGCTAGTATTGTACCTTCGCATTCTTTCAGGAAGCAGAGTTCTCTATCGATGTAGCAGATGCTGCGTGGAGGTTGGAAAACGATGATCATTAATTAGTCAGGCAACATTTTAATTAGATCACGCGGCATCAGTCACAGCATCAAGAGCGTACTTAATACTTAATGCTTAAGCGTACTTAATATGCTCTTTACAGTAATGCCTAAGTATACTTAAGCATACTTAATACGCTCTTGACAGTATCTTCCAACACTTAATCATCGGATTAGGTTGGCATTATATGGAGTTAGCACGACCTTGGTATTAAACGATGCCCATTGATAGGTCGCCCAGGCCCTCCACAACCCCGCCGCCATAGCCCGGGGGGGGGGGTACTCACTTTTTTGGGGGGTGCTCCACCGAAATGGGAAAATTGAGGGCAAAAAGATGGCTCGACGGTGAAAACATGGGGCAAAAATTTGGGGGCAAAAAGATGGGTAGGAAAAAAATTTGGGGGCAAAAAGATGGAAAGGAAAACGAAAAATTGGGGGCAATAATGCGGC